AGCTTTGTAAAATGAAAAGTTCTTGAGGTTGGCTGTACAACGTGAACGTACTTAACACTTCTGAACTATACACTTAAAAATGAGTAAGATGGTAAATTTATTTTACATGTTATTTTACCACAGTGGGAAAAAAACTTCATCTCATCAAATTAATCTCTTACTTTCTGAATCTTAGAACCTTGTCAGAGCTTCAGGGTCATTTAAATATCATTTTTAAAAAATCTCTGGTACCAGTTTTACTCTTTTTAAAAAATGTGTTTTGTATACAAATCTGCTCCCAAGAGATATAAATTCCTGTTCTAGTGTCACAGAAATTCAAAACTACATATGAGGTGGAGTTGATTCCCAATAAATATAGCAAAGCACTACTATGTATATAAAGCCCTCAATGCATACTCACTGAATTCAATTAATAACCACAAACTTGGGCTTACCACTGTTAGTTAACTGTGTATTGGAGGAAGTCAAATACATAACGCAGAGAGCTGGCTAACCTAATTGTGGGCCTTGTGCAGACCTGGCTGCCTCACTTTCCTTCCTTATAAATGGGGGAGTCGAACAGGCCTTTAAAGCCAATAGGAATCTGAGATGATAACTTCTGAGATATTCATTTCAGGAGAACCTTGATGTGCTGTGACCTCTTTATCCTGCATTGGTGTTTTTTCAGTGCACGTTTGTCTCTCTTTAGCACAAGATGCAAGCCCCAGAAGGACAAGCACTTTGTCTCATTCACTGATGTATTCCAGGGCTAAAAACAGGGCCTGGGAATAATCAGACCTGCCACATACACATACTCGTTTTTTTGTTTGTCTTTGTTCTTTTTTTTTTTTTTTTTTGAGATGAAGTCTCTCTCACTTTATCGCCCTGGCTGGAGTGCAAAGGCATGAGCCCAGCTCACCACAACCTCAGCTTCCCGGGTTCAAGCAGTTCTCCTGCCTCAGCCTCCCAAGTAGCTGGGACTACAGACGCCTTCCACCATGCCCTGCTAATTTTTGTATTTTTAGTAGAGATGGGGTTTCATCATCTTGGCCAGGCTGGTCTCAAACTCTTGATCTTGTGATCCACCTGCCTCGGCCTCCCAAAGTGCTGGGATTACAGGTGTGAGCCACCACGCTGGCAAACATACTTTTAAATATGTCTCCAAAGCAGAAAAATTCCTTCTTTAAAAATAATCACATACAAAAAAATTTACATCTATTTTAACGTAGAATAATATTTTGGAAAGTTAGCAGGAATCAATTTCAATAGGATTATTGAATAATTCCTTAATTATTAATAAGAACAAGTGTTCAACTGAGTCACTGGTATAGCAATATTTGAAATCCTTCATTATTATTTTTTTTTCATGGCTCTATTTTGGAAGAAACACAACTCAAAAAATAATAAGCAATTATATTATGGTCTGCTCCAATGTCAAACTTGAAATAAGTGCATGATGTTTGGCAACGAATCTAGCACCTTTGGATCTTAATAATGTATCAACAGTCAGACCCAAGGCTTCTTAGAGCAAAGCAGCAAATCTTTTATTTACACAGCTGTTTGGCTCCAGGGAAATATAAGGTAAGAAAGTAAAGCACTAGTACCATTTTACTAACTATTACAAACATACTCGTCATCTGTTACACACAGATGGCTGTGGTTCATGTGTATACTCTCTGGCTACTGGACCAGCCAAAATGCAAAGCTACTGGACCAGCCAAAATGCAAAAAACAGATAATGAGACAGTGACCTGCACATGTTCAAAAAGACACAAAACACATGTTCAAATAGATACATCTATAATTCTCTCTCCTTTTTTCTTTTCCTTTTTTTTTTTTTCCTGAAAGGGAGTCTCACTCTGTCACCAGGCTGGAGTGCAGTGAGATATCAGCTCACTGTAACCTCCGCCTCCCGGGTTCAAGTGATTCTCCTGCCTCAGCCTCCTGAGTAGCTGGGACTACAGGCACGTGCCACCAAGTCTAGTTAATTTTTGTATTTTTAGTAGAGATGGGGTTTCACCATGTTGGCCAGGATGGCCTCAATCTCTTGACCTCATGATCCACCCGCCTCGGCCTCCCAAAGTGCTAGGAACACAAGCGTGAGTCACCGCACCCAGGCCTTTTCTTTTCTTTCTTTCTTTTTTTTTTTGAAACAGAGTCCTGCTCTGTCACCCAGACCGGAGTGCAGTGGTGCGATCTCCACTCACCACAACCTCCGCCTCACGGGCTCAAGCGATTTTCCTCTCAGTTTCCCGAGTAGCTGGGACTATAGGCGCATGCCACCACACCCAGCTAATTTTTGTATTTTTAGTAGAGACACGGTTTTGCCATGTTGGCCAGGCTGGTCTCGAACCCCTGACTTCAAGTGATCTGCCCGTCTCAGCCTCCCAAAGTGCTGGGATTACAGGCATGAGCCACAGTGCCCAGCCTCTCCTTTTTGATATACAGCTTAAAATAAATCTAAAATCTCCACTAAGGGCAGATTCTTTTACAGATGCAGAAGAACAAAGCAAGCTTTTCTACAGGATACATACAACCTAGATGTTCTATATCATTCCTCTTATTTTCTTAAATTAAATCAACCCTTCCAAACACCACAGATTAGATTCAAAAACAAAAATTCCCTTCCCTAACTTCAAATAACCTTCCTAAAAAGTTTTAATGAATTTGACTACTGTTACCATAAAAACACCATAATCAGCTTGTAAGAACTATGTATACATAATTTTATAAGAATGAGTGGAAACAAAACCCCAGTTCTCTTCCATATTCCCCATCTAGACACCAGAAAGAATTATAATAAATCCAACAGATGGATGAGCAAAAAAGTAGTTAATGCTTCTCAGCCAGCCATGCTAAAAACCAATCAACTCAGTTAGGCACAGGAAGTGTCCCACTTTTAAACACCACAAAAATCTCTGTGGATTTATTTAATTGCAAAGTTGATAAAATACAAAAATAGCTTGCATTATGTCAGGATAATTCAAATGAAAGAATCATGAACTTCCATCTGGGCCCTAGAAACTGGGTTTACATAAATGTCAAATTACATGCTTCTGTGCCTGTTCCTTATAAACTGTTAGGACTGGAATTGAAAACCAGTACATATAAAATGTGGCTACTTTAAATACATTTGACACCTCCAGAAAGGAAAGAATTAAAACCAGCTCGAAGGATTTTTAAATTTCCATCCACTTTTAATTTAAATCATTTTCTTGAACGAAGATAAGGCATAGAAATTTAGGATGGAAATAATTTACCTTATGTAAGTATAAAGCCTCCCTTTGGTTAAAAAAAAAAAAAAAGAGATTATAAAGATATCTCATATAAGTGCATATAACATCAAAAAGGAAAGACCCACACAACACCTACTTCTTGCTTTCTCTTCCTATTGGCTAACTTCTTGTTTCGTTAGTTGTAATCTGATCACACGGAGCAATGCAACACTACAATATCTCTAGGCTTTAGAAATAATACAAATCAGAACATTTGAGTGCTGTTTGACAGTTTCAAGTTGCAGGAATTTTAAACAAATGCCAAGAAAAGCAATGAAAATTTAATCTGATACTTAAGTGCTGATTCTAGAAGCAACTCTGAGAGGAAGCTTTAAACTATTTCATTGTAAAATTTCTAATGAAAGTTTGTTTCAACGTGGACAAAAACGTAAAAGAATCCATAACACTCTACTTAATACATAAGTTCTCGTTTAAAAATTAACCTATGTACTTATAAAGTGAATTTAACACCACTTTGGTAATTATTTTGTAAAATATAAATTGTTCCTTAAAAATGTTCAAACACAACGTCTAGAATTGCTGAAAATCCACACAAAGATAGAGGTTTTGTCATTTGAATGATGGGGAAAGAACTATGGGAGGCAAATAAGGCTTTGTTTACCCTAATCAGGTAGAAACAAACAAAAAATCCTTAATTAGATGCAGACGAGCAAAAAAAAAAAAAATACTATCAACAATCTCAACTCCTCTGCTTCTCAGGTAATAGAGGTAAAACCACCAGGACAGGACAGACAACGTCTATACCCCTTTAATAAGGGTAAAGGTTTACCAGCAGATACAAGGTTGAAAGCGGCTCACTTAGTGGCCAAGATGAACACTCTGAACACTGCCTTTGCCTAGAATAACTGATTTCTTAACATGGGACTCGACTCGACTCTATTTTCACACGCAAAGGCGAAGTCCTCGCATTGCTGCAGAGATGAGAGAACGCCTTTTACACGTCGCGTTGCACCTGGTGCAGAGCCCCCAAGAGTCTCTCATGGAAGGGAGGTCCCGAGAGATCCCCGGTTTCCAACAGCCCCTTTGGGCAGGAAGAGACGAGAAATCCCGCAGCGAACCCCATTAGCTCCGCACTTGCCGAGGTGCTCGCAGAGGTACGGGGCACACAACTCGTCTTCCCGGCGGAGAAAGTTGCTCGCGAGCCCAAGCCTAGCAGCGCTCGCCAAACTTTCCAGCGGCAGCGCGAGCGCCGTCACTTACCGGCGGCAGAAGTCATGATTCCCCGGTGCGACTCGCTTCCCAGCTCGCGCCCCTCAATCCATGTTCCCTTTTCAGTCCATTGTTCCCACAGTTCGAGCAGAAGAGAAAAGCCCCCGCAGCGCCCACATTCCGTCCCGTCGCCCAGTGGCGCAGCCGGCGCGCCGCACAAAGGATGCGGCCGGCTTCAGCGACCCTGAGGCGCTCCCGAGCGAGAGCCGCCGGGGGCGGGCGGGCTGGCGAGCACGAGCGCCGCCCCGCTGAGCTCCAGGCGGACGGCCAGGGGCGGGCACGAGCACTGCTCTCCGCGGCACCGCTGGCGCGTGTCCTGCTCGAGCTCCAAAAATCAGCCTTGCTCCGGGCGCCCCCTGCTAGTCGCGGCCGTAAAAGGCAGACAAAAGCCCTAGCCTCCTCCAATCGGAGGGCTCGCGCTTCAGCTCGCTCCCGCCTCTCTCACGCACACACTCACTGTCTGTTCCAATAAGCGGACTCAAAAAGGGGGCGTGAACGGCGAGGCATGTTGGGAATTGTAGTTTTCTAGACCCACGGAACGGGCAGAAGCTGGAGCATCCGTGCCGCCTGTTCTCCCGCCTTCATTTCCCATCGTGCTGAGGCGGGTGGCATGGCGGAGAAGGATGACACCGGAGTTTGACGAAGAGGTGGTTTTTGAGGTAAGGGGAAAATGGCGGTGGGTGTGGATTGCCTTTGTTTGAGAAGGATGAGACGGAGAGCGAGGAGGCAAGGCGGTCCCGAAGCGAACGATTGGATGACGCGCTCCCGCTGGCCCCAACCACCGAACCCCAGCGATTTCGGGGCCTAGTGCCCACCGTCGCCTGACAGGTGTAGCCTTAGGCGCTCTGGCCGTGGCCGGCCTCTATCTCGGGCCCGCCCAGAATTCCCAGACGGTGCCGGGTTGCCAGGCCCTGGGCTGAAGCCGCGTCTCTTCCTTCCCTGGAATGGATGCGCCGCGGTGGGACTGCGCCCGCTTGGGGCGGGGCCGAATCGTGCTTTTTAGATACAACTTAGCCTCCTCCTTTTCCATCCACGATTTTTTTTGGGTCAGTATCCAGAAGTGCTTCAGGTCACTGTTCACCGTCAAGGTGTGGCCCTCGGAATTAAGGCAGCAGGTGCCCGTTTTCTGACATGGTTTAAAGTCTATATGGGGGACCTACTGTGGGTGGTTAGGGCTGGGGCAACTCAGTATCTAGATTCGATTCTTTTGTCCTTTGCTGCTGCGCTAGATGTAGCCGGTTCTTCTGACTCGAGACTCTAGATGTGAGTGCTTTTGTGTGGGACTATTTTAAGACGTTCTCTGCCATCTTGAATGAAAAAAATCGGGCGAGGGTTTCTGATGCCATTTTTCTATCAGACACAGGTCAAAACTCGCAGCCCTGTACATACATGTATTGCATATGTGCGCTTTACTTTTATCCATCCAACTAGACTTTAAGAAAATTTAAAAATGAGGTGGCTCGTGCCATACAGTGAGAAAGCGGGGCACAGACAGGACACAATGTTAAATGTTGAAATAATGTACAAACTGTCATTAAAGGATTAATTTCTGTTCTTGCGGCCGCCCAGAGGCTACACCCAGTACGCAATATCCGAGGTGAATCTATGCATTGGATTAGAAAAACTGATAGGAGAAAATATATTACGGGGAAATAGAACTGAGTATGCTAAGCTTAGGAAGTGTGAAAGTACCTGGTGTGCATTTTTAGGGGGCGGGGTGTGGAGGAGGGTGGCTATGTAAAGTGGCTTGATGTGGCGAAAATGTAGAAGCAGTGGAAAATGTGGCCATTTTACCTAAACGAAGATTCTAGATATGTGGCGTTCATTAGGGAAGACAAGGGCCTGAATTTTGGAAATGAGAGAATAAGTAATGGAATAATGGCTTGGACGGACATTTCTAAGTTAAAATCGAGGCAATGTTTATAGATTGTGGTCGTTGAAGGAGAGAGAAATAGATTTCTAGAGTAAGGGTAACTGATGGATGTATTTTTTTTACCCATCATTTTTAGTTTCTGGATATAATAGTAATATATGCTTAAGGAACATTTTATTGTAGAAAATAAGCCCCCCAAATTAAAATCATCCATTATCCCACCACCCAAAGATGGCCACTATTAACAGTATGATTTGTGTTCTTACAGACTTTATTTCTATGCAAATGTGTGTTTATGTGTGTGTAATTTTTTTAGCCTCTATATTAAGACACAATGTTTGTGTGATTTTTTTTAACACAAAAGGTATGCCACATAGAATTTTGTATATATTTTTCACTTGACTTTATCAAGAATGTTTTCCCATTCATCATTCTTTGAAAACAGTAATATTATGTTATCCCCTCATGTATGTCATATTATAACCTTTACCTTTTTCAAAATACCATTGTAATCAACACTGATACATGCCTATCTTTAACTTTAACTCCGATTTTCCTCAGAATAATTTTTAGAAGTAGAACTAGTGGGTCAAAGAATATGAACATTTAAGACTTACGCAGAAAGGTTATACCAATTCAGGTTTCCATTAAGAATAAGAGTATTGGTTTCATCAATTCCTCAGCAACAGCCTTAACAGCTTTCTTTAATCTTTGCTAATTTGATAGGCGAAAATAACATTCCGTTGTTTTAATTTACATTTTGTGCATTTATACGTTAGCCATTTTTATTTCTTTGCTTGAACATTTCTCTTCATATGTGTTGCCCATTTTCTTATTAGATGTTAGCTTTTGAAAAATTGACTTGCATGAGTTTTTCATATATTTTAAAGCCTTTGTCATGCTTGCAGAAAAATTTCGTTTGTTGTTTATTTGCTTTTTGTTATACACAATTTTTATTGCAGTATAATTTGCATAAGGACAGGGCACAAATCACAAGCGTGCATATGTTTATATTTTCACATGTTGAGCACACCCATGTAACCAGCACCCAGTTCAAGAAAACAGGACAGGCAGGGCATGATGGCTCACACCAGTAATCTTAGTACTTAGGGAGGCTGAGGCATATGGATCCCATGAACCCAGGAGTTTGAGACCAGCCTGGACGATATGGTGATATTCTACCTCTACAAAAAATACAAAAATTAGCTGGGCATGGTAGCAAGCACATGCCTATAGTCCCAGCTACTCAGGAGGCTTAGGTGGGAGAATTGCTTGAGCCTGGGGAGGTAAAGGCTGCAATAAGACATGATCTCACCGCTGCACTCCAGCCTGAATGACAGAGCCAGACCCTGCCCTTAAAAAATGAAGAAAGAAACAACATCACTAGCATACCAGATGCTCCCTCCTGGACCTTTTTCGTCACTACTACTCTTTACCACAAAATGACCACTATTTAGACATAATAACCTAGATTAATTTTGTCTATTTTTATTGTTTAGACACTGAATTTCCATTTACATGCTCGCTTATTTCTGATTTTTTTTTTCTCTCTGGCTTTATTTATGAGATCCATCCATATTGTTACATGACAATTTTTATTTCTGTATAGTATTCTATGTGAATATATGATCATTTTAAAATTCATTCTTCTGTTGATGGTTATTGAGTAGTTCCCAGTTTTAAAGTAGTACTATTGTGAACCTTTTTGTATGTGTTTGGTTAAACATATTTCTGGTGTGTATATATATGTAGGAATGGAATTGCTGGGTCATAGGAAATACGTAGATATTTCCGTAGATATTGCCAAACTTTATTCCAAAGTGGTTATACCAATTTATACTCCAGCCAGGGATGTATGAGAGATCCCGTTGCCCCACATCCTCACCAACACTTGCTAATTTGAGTCTTTTTTCTTTTTATCATTTTAGTGGTTCTGTCCTGGTATCTCCTTGAGGTTTTAATTTGTATTTCCTTGGTAAAGAAGTTAAGATTTTTAATGTGTTTATTGGCCAATTGTATATCCACTTTGTGAAGCCATGTCAAATTTCTTTCATATTTTTCTACTGGGTTGTCTCTTTTTCTTACTGATTCGAAGGAATTCTTTACATATACTGGATACAAGTCCTTTGTTAGATATGCAGTTGGCCCTCCTTAGCTGAGAGTTCCACATCTGCAGATTCATCAACCATGGCTCACACCTGTAATCCCAGCACTTTGGAAAGCTGAGCCAGGTGGATCACTTGAGGCCAGGAGTTTGAGACCAGCCTGGCCAACATGTCAAAACCCCGTCTCTACTAAAAAATGTAAAAACTAGCCAGGAGTGGTGGTGTGCACCTGTAGCCCCAGTTACTCCAGAGGCTGAGGCATGAGAATCGCTTGAACCCAGGAGGCAGAGGTTGCTTTGGGTGGCAGAATGAGATTCCATTTCAAAAAAAAAAAAAAGGAAATACTCAGGCCCATCAAGGTGGCTTATGCCTATAATCCCAGCACTTTGGGAGACCAAGGTGGGAGTATTACTTGAAGCCAGGAGTTTGAGACCAGCCTGGTCAACATTAATGAGACCCTGCATATAAAAAAGAAAAAAATTAACCAGGCGTGGTAATGCATGCCTGTAATGCCAGCTACTCCAGAGACTGAGGCAGAAGATTGCTTGAGCCCAGGAATTTGAGGTTGCAGTGAGCTGTGATTAAACCACTGTATTCCCACCTGGGTGACAGATTGAGACCGTATCTCTAAATAAATAAATACGTAAAAATATTCAAAAAATAATACAAATAAAAAACTATACAGGATAACAAGTATTTACATAGCATTCACTTTATATTAGGTATTACAAATTATATGAAGATGATTTAAAGTATATGGGAGAATATGTGTATGTTATATGAAAATACTGTGCCATTTTATATAAGGGACTTGAGCATCCATGGACTGGGTATTCGCCCTGGACCTGTGACCAATTCTCCATGAATACAGAGACAACCGTATATACCTCATATATCTTATCTTTGGCTAGATGTGACCTCTGCACTCTGTTAATTGTGTCCTTCAATGAACAGAAGCTCTTTATAATAATTCAATTAAACCTTATTCTTTTATGATTAGTGCTGTTAAAAATTTTGCCTACTCTAAGGTCACAAATATATTTTCTTTAAAAGCTTTATTTAACCTTCTCACATTTAGATCTGTCATCCATCTGGTACTGATTTTTGTATGGTAGCAAGTGAAGATCAACATTTTTTTTTTTTTCCACTTGGATGTCTGGTTGACCTGGCACCATTTACTGAACAAATCATTTTTTTCCCCACTGAACTATAGTGTTGCCTTTGTCATAAATCAGGGTACCTTTTATGTCTGGCTCTCTTTCTAGACCCTTTCTTCTTTGCCATTGATCATTTTGTCTGTTCTTGTGTTAATATCACATTATTTTAATTACTATAATTTTAAAAATGGGTTTTACTATCTGATAGCATAAGACTCTTCAGCTGTATTTTTCTCCAAGATTACCTTTGAATATTCTTCGACCATTATATTTTCATATAAATTTTAGAATCAGCCTGTCAGTCTTTTGCTAGTCACAGGAAATTAAAAAAGAAACAAACAAACAAAAAAAAGAATCAGCCTGTCAGTTTTAGTTCAAAACAAAACCAAAAAAAACCTACTGAGACTTTGATTGAAATAGCTTTAAAGCTATAAATTAATTTGGGGAAACTTAACATCTTTACAATATTGAATCTTCCAATCTGTGAACATTTATTGCTTGCCTTCTACATGAGTCAGGCAGCT